AGTAAAGGAAAATCGTGTGTCGCCAAGTCACAGACTGATATATACAGGTTTGAATTAGAATCCAAACGGATTGGTAGGCGCTGGTGAGTTCCGTTAGCTTGACCCCAACCCGAAAAAGTAAAAAAGTAGATGAACTTACTGGCTTGTGCGAGATTGGCCCGGAGACCGGTCGGCTGAGGAGCGAGCTTCTTGGGAGGCTCGTTCTTCACACCAAACCGGACAGCAGGGGCGGGCCCGGTCTGCTGTGGCTGCAATGGTGCAGCCGTAGGTTGTTGCGGGATTGGCGGCACAGGAGGTGCGCTGTAAGGCATGCTGCCAACACCATTCATACCCGTAGGTTGGGGCTGCAGAGGCGGAGGCAGAACGGAATTGATGCCGGTTTGCATCGGCTGCTGGGGTTGCGGCTGGAAGCCCCCGAAGCCTGTAGGCTGTGGCACCATACCCGGGTACCCAGCTTGCTGTTGCTGGATTCCGAACTGGGACTGCGGCTGGAAACCGGTGGGCTGCGGTGCCAGTCCATTCTGGAACTGAGCCTGAGGCATGAAACCAGTAGGCTGGGGCTGGAGAGTGGGCTGGAACCGCTGTTGGTTCAGTTCGGCCAGACTTTGTCCCGGCGGAGCAATCTGCGGTCCCGACTGAGGAATACCAGTCAGTTGGGGTTGCAAAGGAGGCGGACCGAACGAGTTTGGCTGCTGAGGGAAGTTCTGGGGTGCGGAGAGGGGTCGCTGGGGTGGCGGGGGAAGCAAAGAGCTCTGTCCCATGTTCTGAGGCGGCTGGGGACGTTGTCTTGAAGCTTGCTGGAAGCCCGTTGCTTGAGGACTGAACCCTTGGGCAACCGGAGCAGGCTGTTGCGCGGCTTGTGCCAACTGGGAGAAGAAGCCCGGCGTGGCTCCTGTCTGCTGTGGTTGCACTTGCGTTGCGGGCACCGCAGTGTGCTGGGGTTGAATGGTCGGCTGTGGCTGAAGAGCTGGCAAGGGCGCCGGCGGAGATTGCGGGGCAGGAGCCGCAGGCGTAGGCTGAAGAGGAGCTTGAAGCAAAGACAGGTCAGCCATCGCGCCTGCGAGTGGTTGCTGAGCCGGTGGTTGTGTCGTGGCGGGAGAGGACGCAGCCGGAGGGGGGCTTGAGGGAGTAGCTGGCGTCGAGGGAGCTGGAGCGGCGGCGGGAGTAGCAGGTTGCTTGGGCTGCTTCACCTCCCAGGCATCGTCGTCGAAGCCCTTCTGAACCGGGGGTTCGGAAGGTGCAGCAGTGGTGGGGGGTGTCGCACTGCGCTCTGCAGGCTGCGAAGCATCCTTCTGCTCAAAGGCCTTAGGGTCGACCACATCGCCGGCTGGCGAGGTGGGAGTGGGCCGGCCTTTACGAGTGTTGTTGCGAAGGACACCTCCAGGACCAGAGAAGATGCCGGCGGCACCCTCTTCGCCATTCCCGATGACTTCTTCGCCGCCAAAGCTTACGTTACGTAGCTTCGACTTGGCTCCGGTGCGGCCAAACATGTTGTCCAGGTAGCGCATCACTCGCAAAATATCGCCTTCCTTCAGACCGAGCGTGCGCAGCACCTCTGGGGTGATGTCCGGAAGCACGGCCTCGTCCATGGAGTCCTTGACGAAATTTTGGGCATACCGCTCGCATTGGTGCGGGCCAACGCCGGCCTTGAGGAAGAAGTCAAACCAGTCATAGTCGGATTGCTGGAAAGAAGCTCCAGCGGTAGCTGAAGCACGTTTGCCCTCAGAGGGGGACCGGGCCTTTTCAGGCTCGACACGTTGAGAACGGCGTCTGATGTCCGACAACGGCTTGTCCTCGTCGAGAGACACGCCTGTCATCTTCTCTACATACTCGAGATCCTCGACGGACATCTTCGGGATGGGAACCGCGATTTTGACACCGTTCATCTTGTGCAGATGAATCTTGCCATCCTGCAGGCCAATGAATTGCGCCTCGACAGTGAACGTCTTGGTGCGATCAGTCCATTGCCTTGTTTTGGCCGGATCCGGTTCTGCTTCCATTAGCAACAGACTCAGCACTTGAGGGCGAACGTGATGACTTACTCGGCTTGTGGCTGCTCTTGCTATCGCGTTTCTGGCGTCAAATAATCAGCATCACCTCTAGCAATTGACACCCTGGCTTTCGGGAGAGGAACATACCTGACCGTCAACCGAATCGGTCCGCGACTTGCGCAAAGCTTCCTTGGCTAGGCGCGCTTCCTCCATGCGATTCTTCTCTACAGTGGAAAGGCCCGGTTCGGAACTAATCACCGGAGTCCCGACCGTTCCGGTAATCTCAATGTAGCTACTTGGGACGACACCCTCCTTTCCGTTCTTCAAACGCCGCACCTGCCACCATTCTTCGGACTTGCCGTCATCCAGGACGATGACGTCGTCGCCCGCGGCCACCGTCACCTCATCGTCTCCTTGAGCCATGAAGTCGTAGAGAATCTGGCCCTTCTTCTGTCCTCCACTGGTACCAGCGGCGATGACCTCCTTCAGACCCTCTGCGCGATAGGCGCCGGAAATTTCACCAAGGGCTGAGACAATTTCCCGAGCAGTGTCCTTGGCACCCGCGTGGAAATCGATGCTCTTACTGGGCCGGACCAGATCCACAAAGACGTGCTTTCCTTCAATCGAATAATGGGTGAGCTTGTCTGCGGTCCATTCCTGCACATCACCACCCTCCTCGGGCGAAATAAAGATAGTTCCGGTTGCGACATTGATACCCAAGGTTGTGGGCATCTTCTTGCGCTTGCCCATTACTTCCACCATCTCATTGATGCTGTAGATATGGTAGCCGGAAGGGGAACGAGGGGTCGGTTGGCCGACTCTGCTGTATGGGGGCGATTCCTGCACATGGCCACCGCGGTCGCTGTCGCGCACCGAAGAAACCTGAGAACGAGGAGGCCGAGCGGGCTCTGGAGGAGAATCCAGCGAGACTGGCGACGAGATCTGCTCGGACGGAGGACGCCGTGGTAACGCAGGCGGAGGTGGCGAGGGCTCGTTCCGGTAGGGCTCCTCCTCGGGCTCATCGTACGCTGGCCGTGCCGGCTGAGGGGGCGGGGGAACGGCTCTGGGGGGTTCCGGTTCTGTCGCAGCGGCATGCTGCTTGTGGATGATATCTGCGATGGCCGCGGCGGCAGGATTCTGCACGGCATCAATTGGAGGAGCTGCGCTGGTCCCGTTGACTTCTTCCTCCGTCACCGTCGGTCGCTGCGGGAGGGCGGGTGGCGCCGGTTCGGGTTCAGATTCGGCGGGGGGAGGAGACGGGATGGCTGGTGCAGGGGCATGGTGCGCGCCTGCATCTTCGAGGATTTCGATGTAGTTCGCGGGGGCGAAGCCGTAATCGGAGTTGACACCGACCAGGGTCCAGTCCGGGTCGGAGGTATCATACACGATCAAGTCTGCGTCTTCGGAGAAGGAGACCTCCTCGTCCGTCTGGCGTGTATAATCGTAGAGCGCTTTGGCCGAGTGTACTGGTTGAGCCTACGTGTCCGACAGAAATTGCGTTAGCACAAGCGGTTTCAAATCTGGAGACAAGAGTTGCAGCGTTGCCGGTACCCCTGAGCGTGAGGGCCGGCCGCGGCGACCATACACTGGACGATGACGCATGCAAGCTTGAAGATATAGTCCGACTCTACGTCAAGAAATGTTGGGGGGGGGCTTAAAAATCCTTACCTCCTCGACGTAGTTGTTTGGGACGAGACCCTCGGGTTCATCGTCATCCTCACGCTCGGCCTTCTTCTTAGCCTTCCACCAATCCTCCTCTTCGCCTTTCTCGAGGATGTACAGCAGATCGCCTTCGCGTAGCTCTAATTCCCCCTCCGCTTGGGGGAGGTAGTCGTAGATGGCCGTGTAGACACCGAGGAAACCCATGGTGGGAAGCCGTTAGGTAGCCAAACGGCGATGGAGAAGGGTCCGGGGGTTGTGTGCCGCGGCTGCGGAGGGCAGCGTGGACGAGCGAGGCTGTGGGCCTGGAATCAGGAGAGGATGAGCCGGACGAACCGGGTGGATAAGAGGCGGGAGGGAATGGAGGGGGGGGAAGTTAGGGTGGTAAATAGTATGTACAGACGAGGAAGATCGGTAGATTGGGCGGAGGAAGGAAGAGTGAGTGATAGACAGGAGACCCGTGCAGCAAACGTACCGAGTCGAGTAAGTATCTCTCTGCTCTCACTAGTTAATTAGTAGTGGGTAGGTACGTAAGTGGTCCAAGTGGAGGGAGGCAGCCTTGGCAAGCACCCAAGCAAGTACGTAGATAGTAGTAGTACTCTAGTAGATTCAAAGGCTGTCTAGACGGGAATTCAATATCAGGCTTGTTCGCCGGAGGGAAGAAACCGGGAAGGTATGCAGTAGCCTTCAAAGGTAAAGTATTAAAAGAGAAGTGGAATAGAAACGGGGGATAGAAGAAAGCGGAGGGAAAGAAAGAGGATGAAGGGAAAAAGGGACCGAACTGGACCGGCGATGAAGCAGCAGCAGAAGGAAGAGCAACAGCCCGAAAAGAGAGAGAGTCGCGGATGGCTGAGGGGGCCGGGCGGTCACGTTTTCTGCACCCACGTTTTCTTGGATTTATTATTATTAACCTATTACTTTTAGTTTATTAATAGCCAGCAAGCAGGTGTTCGATCGATCATATCTGCACCTGACAAAAGACTTATACAAGAACAGATGTAGTTCTTCTCTCTACTCCGTAACTCGGTGTGAGATTATTCTTCTTACCATTATTCTTAACATTATCCCATCTCTCTCTATCCTAACCCCTTTGGCAATGAATGAGAACGGCAATAATGCATTGGACAAGCCTGGAATGCCCGCCTCTCCCCCCCTTATCGGTCAGCCCAGCCTCTTTGGGCACGCATGGTCTCCCCTCCTCCCGGAAGCCTCCATCCATTATTGGCTCTTGTGCTCGCCATGGGCCGGAATTGAGTCTACTATTTACTTCATACTTATTGAATTTAATTAATGGCAGGTCAATAGTCCCAGTACACGGCAACCGGGATAATCGTAATCTATGCAATGGGATATAATCAGCCGTAGCTACTACGAACGCACGCTAGAAGAAGAAAACACATGGTAGACGCAAAAAGGAAGTTGCACAAGGGCACCCCGATCGAGCAAAAGCAAAGCCCTCACAATAGCTACTACAACTCATCCTTCACCCTCTTCTTGCTTACCTCCTCGACTTCGTCGGTCTCCAATGGCTGCTGTTCTTCCTGGTGCTGCGGTTGTGGCTCCTGCCCTGCCGCCTCTGCTTCAGTCGTCTCCTTGGAAGGAGCATCCGAGACCATCTCTTCCTGGGAGCCCTCTCCGTTGTCTTCCTCCTCCTCGTCATCATCAACGAGGCCGCGCAGCTGACGTTCGCCATTGACCGAGATAACCTCGAGCGTCCAGTCCTTGCCCTTGGCCCACTCCTCCAAGCGCTTCTTCAACGTTTCGAGCTTCTCTGGGTCCAGATCGTGCTTTTTCAGATCCTCGCGGGACAATTGTTGCACTTCTCCGTTTTCGCGCTTGGCCACAACCTCAATGATCTCTTCTCCAGCCCACGCGACGCGTCCTTTCTCGATCTCCTTGCCTTCCGATCCCACCAGCTTCTGAGCACCGACCTGGATATCTCCGACGACCGGGAACTCCTCCATCACGGCGGACTCTACCAGTCGCTGCGCCAACTGGTACTCCCGGAGCGCTTCCCAGTCCGATACTTGCTCCGGGTCTAGAATCTCGCGACACTCTATGCCGTGTACCTCGTCTTGCTGGGGCGGCAGGAAGGCAACGTCGTTACATAGACGCGGGGTGTAGATGACCATGAGGTAGGAGCATGTGGTCAGCTCCTTGATCCAACCAATGCGGTCTGTCGACTGAGGGTGGCAATGAAACTGGACCTCGATCTTCCGGTCTCGACCTGTCAGGTCGCATTTCGTGCCGCCATCCAATCGTTGCACCAAGTACCTGGAGCCGCCCTTCGTCTGGAGCTCTGCCACGTCTGTGACAGCTTTCTTCTGGTCTGAAGCCCCTTCTACCTCATCTTCGTCGCCCTCTCCCTGAGGGAATTTGCCCAGAATGAAGGAGTGGGTTGTATGGTCCTCCATAGGCGGGTAGTTGGGAACGCCACTTCCCGAAGGGAGGGCGTGGAACTGCTTAATCTGGTTCTTGTAGCAGAAAGAGTAGGACCACCATCCGGATATATAATACATGCATTTCCCCTCCATCTCGCGCAGGAGCTCCAGGCCCCGATCCATCGCGCGCGCCAGCTCCTTCTGCTCGTCCGCTTCGAGAGGATGTCCGGTGGCATTGGTCCGGTCGTCAACATCGACGCGGGGGATCTGACAGAGGAACCGCTGTTCTCCCAGAAGCATTTCCTCATAGCTGAATCCGTCGTCGCCATCGCGGGGGGTTGCGTGGTTGTTGTCATGGGTATTGCGGCCTAGGTACACTTGGGCGGACTTCTCTTGATTATCGGCGAAGGTCGAAGAGCTATCACTGCGCTCTCGTAGGAGCTCTCTGGCGTGGGAATCGAGGACGTAGTCATCGGGGAAATGCACCTCAAACTAGACGTAGAAGTCGGTTAGTTTTGGGCTGTGAGGGGTGCACAAGTGAGATGCGATGCATACTTGAGGGTAAGCTAATAGGTCATCGTTGATGTTGAAGGCCTTCCTGCTGGCCCAAGCTGTAGAGCTGGCACATGCCAGCGCTAGCAGAATATGTGCCGCCTGGTTTCGACGAGGCATGGTCGATTGTAGAAAGGAGACGGGGTATCAATTGAGAAGGGTCGGGGTCAAGGCCGCCGGCCGCGGTGTTCCTGAATGCGACGATCTGGCCTGATTGGGTGCGTGACGGAGACGGGTGGCCAGTGGCTTAGTGAGGGGTAGGAATGAATACACGGGGAATACGATCAAGGGAACATTATTGTAAATATGATAGCATAAGGTTCAGAATTACAGTCGGGGTATGATGATCATCGAGTGATGCACCCAGGGACATGCCAGTTGGGAAGAGCAGCGCACCAGCGGAGAGCCGGGGATATCTTATCAGCACGTGCACAGTAACTAAACTGTATTACTGCTTGCTGGGAGGGAGTGTAGTACAAAGTTATGCAACTGGGACCATTCTAAGCAGCATTGATTACCATAGCATATTCCAGAATTATACACTACCCATCTAACTACCAATCAATTATTACTGACTAACCATCATTATGAAGAACTGACTAACCCCCTCCCCCAATTTATCCGTCCACGGAAAAAAGAAAGATAGCCCAGCTGCACTGACCCCACTGAGTCAGCCCTGAATAATGGCGCTAAAACTGCTGACGGCAATCTTTGTAAGAACGCGACCCATGGGCAACATCCAGCTTTACTTCTGGTTACGGAGAACGTAGTAATACTATTTTCTCTCTCCCCCACAATTGACTTTCCTTTTCCCCCCACCAGCCAAAAAGAATAATTCTGATTATGATTACTTACTTTATGCTAAGCTAAGCTAACTAACTAACCTAGTTTAACTAAATCGAATCATCAGCTTACCCAAATCATTATAAGAAGTTGACTAAAGCCCCAAATTCTATCCCATCGTAGCCAGCACCTTCTATATCATTCGCACTGCCCTCACTGCCCTCAGACAAAAAGTTATAAAAGGCCGCTCACAGAACACCACATGAAACTCCTCGTTTCGTTTTTCATCGCTATCATTGCTATTGTCTTGACTTGCAATACATCTACTTTCACATCTACTTTCTTCTACCAGTTCACTAGATACTTTACTACTACAACTACATCTACCACCACCACCACAAATCCATCCAATATGTCCGTCCCCCGCGCCATCCGCCAAGCCTTCCTGGCCATCGAACAAGCCGAAGGCGCCGGCGCGCGCGTCCGCCGCTCCATCGGCACACGCAACCTGCGCAACTTCAGCCCCTTCCTCATGCTGGACCACTTCACAATCGGCAAGGGCGCCGGATTCCCCGACCACCCACACCGGGGCCAAGAAACCATCACGTACCTCCTCTCGGGCGGCGTGGACCACGAAGACTTCGCCGGAAACCGGGGTACGATCGGGCCCGGAGACCTACAATTCATGACCGCCGGCCGGGGAATCATGCACGCAGAGATGCCGCACGAGAACCCCGATGGGAGTCCCAACGTGGGCATGCAGCTGTGGGTGGACCTGCCCAAAGAGCTGAAGATGTGCGAGCCGCGGTACCGTGATCTGCGGGCGTCAGAGATCCCCATTGCGAAGGCGGATGATGGGCGCGTCACGGTGAAGGTCATCTCGGGCCAGTCGCATGGAGTGGATTCCGTAAGGGATCTGGCGTATACGCCTGTTTGGTTGTTGGATGTGACGGTCAAGCCGGGCGGTCGGGTCAAGCAGGTGTTGCCGGTTGGGTGGAATGCGTTTGCGTATACTTTGGCTGGGAAGACGATTTTCGGGTCTGGTGGGGAGACGAAGACCATTAAGGAGTTTCATAATGTGGTGTTTGAGCAGCAGGGTGATTTTGTGGAGGCGTCGGTGCCGGAGAATGCGGATGAGGAAGGAAGGTTCATTTTGGTGGCGGGTCAGCCGTTGGATCAGAAGGTCGTGCAGTATGGCCCGTTTGTGCTGAACAGTGAGCAGGAGGTGTATCAGGCTATGGTGGACTTTCAGACTGCGTCGAATGGGTTTGAGAAGTCTAGGAATTGGGAGAGTGAGATTGGGAAGCGCATGGCTTATTAGATTGTTATATTTGTTTGTTTGGAACTGCTAGATGAGATTTGTATTGTGTATTGGCGTTTGGTTTGAGTTTTTTTGAATGTTTGTGTAGATCACCGAATACTAACATGAGTGATAAGATCAATGGAGCTTCCTCAAGTACAATTATGGTAGTCTGAACCCTTATTATCGATACTGAAGATGGTAAGGAGTTTAGATGAGATGCATAATATTCGCTATATCAACAGGGAGAACTCAGAAATCGAGCAAAATCATCCAGTAACGCCAAAAGGCGGTTCTCGGAACACACCCAACGGCGGTTCTGGATGGACGTAAGAATCTGACCCCAAGACACCTATTATATCTTACAGAACGCCTACTCCGTCCAAAACCGGAGTTCACCAACCCTACATACTTCTCTCTCCTGCCAACTGCAGGCTTAATCAACCGCCATTCATCTATTTGGCAAAGTGCAGGTCGTAGCCCAACCACTTGCGGGCAAGGATACCCGGCACATCCAGACCCGGGGTGCCGTAGGTCAACGGGGCGTAGAAGACGAATCCGTAGATCGTACCGGCCAGGATGACCAGGGTCGCGGCCCAGCCCGCAACAAGGGACTTGGTGCCCATGCGTTCCTTGGCAGTAACGAAGCGTCCAACCGAAGCTGACGCCTTGGCCTTGCCCGACGGGTCGTCCTCAGACCGCACACGCTGGATGACCGAGAGCGGCTCCAGGTTGAAGATGAACTCGATCAAGGCACCAGCCACAAGAGCGGAAGCAAGATGAGCGGGGAGGTAGTGGTGCAAGAAACGCTGACGGCCCATCAGCCAGAAGGGGAAGTAGTGGGCGGCCCAGCACAGGAACAAGAATCCCATGCTGTTGTACAGACGGGAACGGGAGCCTTGGCCCCAAACTATCACTCGTTAGTAGCTGCTTGCTGAAATCACAAGGGTTTTCACTTACTCTCTTCCACGGCATCGACGCCACGACGCAGAGACAGCTGATCGGCACCAATGACACCGGCGAACACCGCCAACAGACTGCTGGCGATCCACCAACCGACCGGGTTACCAAGGAAGTAGATCTGCTCCCGGGTGTCGTTCTTGGTCCAGAAGCTGACACCGCGGAGCAGGAAAGGCCACTGGAAGGGTTCACTCGCGTACGGGTGGCTGCTAGTCAGGGCATTGTTGTGGAAGAACATGGCGCGCTGCAGTTCAAGGTACTTGCGGAAGAAGGGCAGGTGCTTGACCTGGCGCTCTTCCTTGACCAGACGGGGACTGTCCTCTTCCAAGGACTCAATCGACTCAACGAACCACAAGTTGCTGGTCTGGAGGATATTCTTGTTGCCGTTGATCTCGGCTTGCTTGAAGGCCCAGTCGGGCAGCGGCGTGGTGTGAGTCCACATGGCCACACGGGTGGGCATATGGATCAGCTTGAAGTGGCTAGACAAAGTGCGGAATTCCTGGCCGGGCTTGCCATTCTCGATCTTGATCTCGAACAGCGTGTCGTTGCGCCGGTCACCGTTGGCAATCTCATGGGAGACAGTGGTGAACTCCTGGTTGGTCGGGTAGTAGGGAGATGCAACATCGTGGGTGAGCAGGATCGTGTCAGTGCCCATATGGCGGAGCTGAACAACATCACCGTTGCGCACCTTGTGTCCGCTGATATCCGTTACATCCAGAGGCACCGTGGGGATGATCTGCCACTGGTTGTTGGTGTCGTTGTAAGGGTATCCGGTAACCTGCTGGCCCTGACTGGAGATACGTCCATCATCGTACCGAAGGGGATACCTCTCCAGGTGGCTGTGAAGATAGACCTTGGTATCCTTGTGCTTCATGGTAATGGTGTCGTAGTATTCGATACCGACAGACTGCGCGCTCAGCACATTGTCGCTGAGAGTTTCCTGGAACTCGGGGGTCATAAAGTCATCGCCGGGGCCGGAGCGGGTGAGGATGGCAAAGTGGACTTGGAACCAGAACAGATAAAAGAAGAAGGGCACAATGATCAGGGCAAAAGCGCGAGCAACGAAGTGCTGACCCCACTGGAACATGGTGAGAGCACCGCCACGACGGCGGATATCCAAGAGGTTCCACAGATCAACCATGACGGCGGAACCAATGGTAACGAAAGTGAAGACACCGACGTACTTGGTAGAGATGACGCAGCTGAGCGACACACCGGTCAGGAGCAGCCACTTCCACCATTTCCGTCCGAATGGCTCATGACGCAGCTTGTAGAAGCGGACATAGCAGAGGATGCTCAGGGCCATGGTCAGGACCAACGAGGCATCCAAAAGAATCAAACGGTCCTCTCCGACATGGGCATTGTCAAACAGGACAAGTCCAGCGGACAAAACACAAGCAGGTAGTGAATATCCAGATTCCCACATGATCAGGAACACGACAGGAACCGTCAGGGCACCGAGCGCGGCCGGCATAGCCCGAAGAGCCACGTAGGGGACCTGGTGTTCAATGTAGGAATCACCAATGTTATCGAAGAGGAAGTGGCCATCATAACCGACCAGCCAGCCCATGAAGGCGAAAAGGAGCTTGCCGAACGGAGGGTGGACATCGAAGAAGTAAGTGCGCTGGAGGTAGTACGAGGCAAACTAGAGCAGATCCCCCGTTAGCAACTCGCCATGATGGAGCTTCATAACGATCAATTGATTGCAAGCCTACCTTTCCAAAGTGCACCTCATCAAAAACGACCTCGTTGGGGTAAGAAATCTTGTAAAAACGGGTGACGAATGCAAGCACGGTCAGAATGGAAATGGCCAGCCAGTAATCCCATTCCGAACGAGGAGCAGTCGCTTTGGACAAAGGAGAAGAGAATTTATCCGCAGGCACGGGAGTACTCTCCTTCTTGCCGCCCCTCTTGCGAAGAGAGGGCGAAGGAGATGAAGACATGATTAGGTAGTGTGGTCAAGAAAAATGAACGAACGAAAGACACCTAATGGACTTCTAGAAGCCGCATACGGGGGAACAGGTCAGCAAGCTGGACGGAGCGGGCAGGAAAGCATTCGCATGCTTGTGCCTTTGTAGGAGGGCTACTTACAAAAAAAAAAGCAAGAAAAAGCCAGTCAGGAAAAGAACATGATAGACCGGAGGGATGAATATACTTAATGGTCACAGCCGCAGCAGCAAGAGGGGGGGCGGTTTCTTGTTGCCGATGGGGGCGGATTGCGTGTCTTTCTGGCCTCCCAAACGCTTGCGGAACGGAACAAGGCGTTGGTCCGAACTTGAAACAAGCCCCCGTCCGGGGCCAATTTATGGGAAACGTCGCGCGATGAAACACGTGTACTTCAGCGGTTTGCGTAGTTCTGCCTCCAGGGTTTGATCGTCATTATCCGTCGGAAATTCAATATTTGGATTTGAGCTATTATATAATGTTATCATGATGGTGCTGATGAACCCGATCAACGTATTCCTCAAAACTACCCGGGGATATCCAATGCCAAATCAATGCACCTCAACGCTGAACATGACCGCATGCAGTATATACAATTTGAGAGAATGAAGAAAGAAAAATAACCCCAAAATTCACCTATTTCAATCGTCGTCCGACACGTTCAGTAATTCGAGTTCCGTCTTGACAAGTGACTGGAAGTCACTGCGCGAGATGCCCGTAGCTTTAGCCAGTCGGAACAGACCCTTGATGCTCGAGCCAATATGCTGTTTGACGCCCACTTCATACGCCGACTGGTTCTCAGCCTCTTGTTCAAGTCGGGCGACAGCTTCGGAGCTCGCAGACGAGATGGAGGAGGGTCGAGGGTGGTTTAAACCAGCATGATCTCCATTGGTAGCAACACCATTTGAAGTATTGGTCGGCTTATCAGCTTCGTCTCCATTAAATTGTCGCTGAAGCAGTTTGGCTAGCATATCGCCATTGAGGGAGGAGGGTCCGACCTCGGGTTGGTCTTCCTCGGGATCATGGTTATCCATCGCAGGCTGTACATCACCGTAGCGAGAAAAGTAATCCGCTTCCGACTGCTGCAGGGATGAAACGGCGTTAGGAGCGGGTGTCTTGTTCGCAGGAGTTCTTCCGGGAGTTGCATCGTATTGAGCCCAGTAGTCATCGTCATCTTCTTCCTCCTCTTCTTGGTTCTTTGCCTGTTCAGCGGCCTCGCCTGCTTTTAGGGCGTCCTCTAGCAGGCGGTCTTTCTGGAGAGCGTTGGCCTCCCCGATGGACACAGACCAGTCTTCACCGTCGTCGACGTTGCCTTCTTGCGGCAACAGTTCTGCTACCCGCCACGCGGGGCCCCCGCCTTCCTGATCGTCGGGGCACCAGAGGTAGATAACTTTCAAGCTGAATTCGGGAAGTATGACACGCGACCGTAGGGTCTCCTCGTCCACACGCATGTACCTGACGGGGAGCTCATCGGGGAGCTCAATCTCACCCGACACCGGGTGTGGCTCGAAGGTTGCGCCATCCACCAACGTTTGGAGGCGCTCAGCCTGTCCAGCATCCCAGCACAGCAGTCGGAGCCATGATTCGGTGGGCGAGGCAGATACTGAGCTTAGGATCTTAACCCGTTGGCGCAGAATGGGAGACAGGAGGGGCAGCAGAGCCGGAGGGGGTTGAGGCGATACGAAAGCCGTAGGAAGACAGGCGAGTAGAGGTGGCAGCAGGGTGCGGGGCTCAGGAGGGGGGATGAGTGCGACCATGTTGGAGGGGAAGAAAGGAGACTGGATTGCGCAAGTCGCCTGGAGGAACTGCTGAGGTGGCAGCTGCAAGTGATTTAAAGAGGGAAGCTCTGTCGACAGCTGAGTTGGGGGAGAAAAGCTGCGGCGGTGAAAAGGGAAGAAGATTGGATCAGTCACAGCCAGCAGGTTACGGGTGCACAGGATCGAGCAGTCACAAGCGCAAGTCGAGAGGGAGAGAACTGATTGAAGATCAGGAGGAGAGAGCCATCTTTCTATATGGCAGAACCAGGGGGAATGGAGAAGACAGACGATCAGTCAGTCAGAATCAGCAGCGTGGCCATCGCAGGTGTTCAGGTCCCCTTCCTTTTCAACCCATGGATCTCCTCACGGAGCTGTTTGGCTCCCTTCGCCCGAAGAATCGGCGTGGGTCGCAGACCAGAACGAGAGAAGACGCGGGGGGGCCAGATGGACCCATGGAGTTCCCCGTGAGCCATTGAGAGATGAGCAAATAATCAACTGGAATGGAGAGGCGATCCTTGGAGGAATTTATAGATAGTGGATAGTGGTTAGTACAGTAGATAGATAGCAGAGATAAACTGGGTGTAGTCTTAAAGAACTGCTGAGTGTTTAACTCTCAAAAGAATTCCAATCCAAGCAGGGATCATGCGGATCCCCAACCTCAGGCAGGAACTTTACCTTTTTATACATTTTCAAAGAAGCAATTTATTCTGATGCTTCTAGAAATTCGATCACCTCAATGACCTAATTAAATATATTGCTTGCCTAGTTACTTGTTTCTATCTGGACCATGCAGAAGTTGTCTCACCATGGAAATAGTTTCCTGCCCGTCGCTGGTTGCATTTCTTGATGCTCACTTCAGCTCGGGATCTGCTTATCCAACCATCGATTTCTAATCAGCTCACCCTAACTTCTACTTCGTAGTCTAGACTACAGTAAGAGGACAACTGCTACTCCACTCATAGTCAGTCGGACATGTTCAAGATATACATTCCCCACTGGAGCTTGTTCTGCATTATGATTGCTTCTCTTATAGTGTCATGTGTAAGTCGCTAAACAAAAGCAAAGTCTACCAAGTCATGCTTCGATTGGCTTCTTTCAGCATCCACGCAAACAATCTCATCAGCTTCATCAGCTAGATATTAAACCGCCACCGATCAGCATGGCTGTCCGCCCTCGCCATCACTAGTCGCAATCGCGATTGATTAATGCCCCGCGACTTCCAATGCAGCGTCGGGCGCTACGAGGGCCCAGCTCTCCTTCGGAGATCTCCCGGCTTATCCTAGCCAATGGATGCCCTAGATGGGGACAAATTTTGCAGGGCCGTCCAGGTTGAAGAACGACTAGCGAACGGAGTTATGCATGGGTCGCAAGCTGTCCAAATCCCGCTGAAAACTAAAAGTGGAGGAGTCATGATAGATAAGCTGGCTGCTGCCAACTCTTTCCCCTCAGAAATGTAGCCCAACGTCTTCCTCGGAATATGCCACTACGCTCGCAACTGTCGCATCTGTTCTTCGATCGCTCGCGTGTGCATCATGGATCCCAAATATTCCGACACGGTTGTCGTTGAGAGCCACCATGGTAAGGTCGAAAGCACGCGGGAAGCCCAAGGTTACGCGGGTCTCGACCCGGAAGAATTGAAGACTCTCGAGACTCGAATCCGATGGAAGACCGATTTGCGCCTCTGCACCATTGCTGGTATCTTGTGCAGTCTCAATCTGCTTGATTCCGGCATCTTGTCATCAGCCTCGGTTACCAGCATGCCCGACGACCTTGATCTTGTTGGCACGCGATACTCCGTCTCGGTCTTCATCTTCACCATCGCCAGTATCGTCTTCCAGCTGCCATCGACCATCGCAGTCCGCTGGGTCGGGCCACGCATCTGGTTCGCATGCATCGCCTTCGCCTTCGGACTGATCACAATGTGCACGGCCTTCATCCACACCTGGAAGGAGATGATCGCCCTCCGCGTGCTCCTGGGTATGTCCATGTCGGGAATTTACCCGGGTCTGACCTATCTCATCAGCGCCTGGTACCCGCGGCGGGAGCAGCAGCTGCGATTCGCCCTGATGCAGTCGGGTGAAGTCATCGGTCTCGCAACAGGCTACATCGTGAACTACGGCCTAGAACTGTTGGATGGAAGAGCAGGCATGCAAGGCTGGCGCTGGATGTACCTCGTGCAGGGCCTCATTAGCTGCGTCATTGGCATAGCCACCTACTGGTGGATCATCGACTTTCCAGAGAATGCGCATCGCAGCTTTTGCTTCATGTCCGAGCTGGAGGCCCGTGTCGCTGCCCAGCGCATCAAGGCAGACCGCGATGATATCGTTCCGGACCCGTTCTCATGGCGCAAGGTTCTCGCACCTTTCGCCGACCCGAAACTGTACGGCTTCGCATGCATGTACTTCCTGTTGAACCTGGTATCCACAGCGTTGAACTACTTCCTCCCCATGATTCTCGAGGATGGCATGGGGTTCTCGAGCAACGCTTCAATTCTCCTATCCACGCCGGTAATACCATCACCTGCATATCTCCTATTTATGAGCCAGATACTAATAGCTTCCTATTACTAGCCATATTACTGGGCTGTCATCCCCGTCATCTTCACCTCCTTCGTCGGAGACAGACTCCGCATCCGCGGCCCCCTCATCGCCTTCAACGCCCTCTGCCTCATCGCCGGGTTCCTCATGTTCGGCCTCCCGTCATCCACGCAAGTCACCGTCCGATACATAGGAACGTTCCTCGCGACAGGAGCATACGTCTCCAACTGGGCAGCTCTGAACGCCTTTATGGCCAATAACGTGGTTGGCCAATGGAAGCGCGCGACCACAGCGGCGGCAGTGTCAGCCTGTAATGGCCTGGGCGGTGTTGCGGGTAGCTACATTGTACGACAGCAGGAAGCACCGCGATATGAGACGGCAGTCTGGGTGTCTATCGGGTGAGCACCCCACATGCCAAACCAATTTCCAAACACTTACTTATTGATAAACAGATCCCATATCCTAATGATAGTGCTAGTGTGTGTTTTCACCTTGTTTTTCTGGCACCTCAATCGGCAGCAAAAGCACAAGGGAAAGCTTATCCAGAATATGGTATGTCTTGCTTATGAGGCTATTGATAATAAATTTTCCCTATTAATAACACCATTCCAGGTCGGATTCCGCTATACTTATTAATTACCGTTTTTGGTTATATATACGGCAAGGCCATAATAGAATCAAAGATATACATAGTTATATATATGATGACGACTCAAGATCAGTGATGAAGATGAACGTGCAGGATTGATTGAACTTACCAGTAGTACTAGCCCCATCATGAATCTTGAGAATCCTAGTAGGGAAGTAGTAGTATTCTGGATTAAGTACCTGTGATTGCACTATAGAATAATAAGAATCTAAAGAGGGCACTACGTAAGGGGTGGTGTGTAGTATATAAGTCATCTCAAACTGAGCCGGGCATGTAACAGGATTTCGTATATAAGTATGACGCTTACTTAAAAGACAGTGTAGGTGAGAGAGATGTGCTTCCAATTCCATTGAAATTTCACCTTACTGTGATCTGTCATCAATGACCAATTCATTCTCCAGTATTATTAAATCGAGGTTAGTTGACTTTATATATACTACTACTATAAGCACACCTGAGCCATGCATATAATACTACTTTAGACTAGAAGACGGCAGATGGGCTGCCCAAATCGGCGAGACATCGAGTACTACAGAGACCTTAAGCAAGAGTGTTTCTTCTCGTCAAAAACCATTTCTAATGTTTGTTGCTCTATATCTTTAATTGATGGCTCGCCGCTGTTGAAATTTTGACCAGTTGTCCGACGACAGCGACTCTGAACAATAGAGCACCGAATAAGCACTCACCAGAGTATTACATGCTGCAGCTTGCTAGCTTTGATGAGACTGACTACAAGGAGGACTATGGGGAATTTTTAAGAATAATATTATGTGTGTTATATGCCGGATGAACTGGTTATCAAAACCCTAGGATCACTTTCCTGTCCCTGTTAGCTTAGCTTAACTGGTATACATATTATTAGACCAGATCAAAGAAATATTAGATAGTAAGTAATAAAACGGTTTTCTATCATGATACTTAGTTTTCTTTTTAGAGTTTTTAGAGGGTGCATAGAGCAGCCAGCGTGGATTAAGACTCATGATTAAGGGATTTTCTGATCAGAATCAAGGACCCGTACTAGAGCGTACTTTTTTTTCTCTATAAATACTATATAGTTTTTCTCTCTAAAGATATTCAAGGTGTTTACTTTGGATACCGGAGCCTTTATCATCATCAAGCTACTGGTCTGGCTTTAAATTTTATATCAGGCTCTACTTAACTCAAGGAATTGTTCTTCCTGATTATTCTTTCTATCAGATACATAGTAGCTGCTTATCAGCCTGCATCAGGGCAGCTTTCATTGGCTCATACCGAGTGTGCGGGGTCGTGAACTGATGGAATAAGGGTCTACTGAGCAGCCAATCGAAGTAAGTTTCTGCAGGATATGGGCCTTATACTGTAGTCTACCGCAGCCATTAATGACACCATGTATCGCGGATTATAATAGAAAAGGTAATAATATTCTTTAATCTCCTTACCTTCCACTATCAAAGTATCACAAGTTGTCAGATTTTTGTCCATGAGAAGGAAATGCAGAAGTGGACAGAAGATATTATAGTATTCTAGAAGACCATGACAGATGTCACTCATCCAAGATGACCTGTAAGGTTATTAAAGATGTATATAGTGTATTAAGACTAATACTACTTTTCCAGCTATTGAATCCTCAGGCTGCTACCCGTGTAAGTTAATAAAGCGGTAGTAGTAGTAATAATAAAGAGGGTAATTCTAAATAATTTCTTTTTTCTTCTCTGATAGGTATTACGCTAAGCTCGATGTATGCAAACCCGCGGTAGTGATGTTCCAGCCGTACGAACCCAACAATCCATGAGTTCAAGTAAGGAAATACTACTCGACGAATTGGGGCCTGTTTGGATGACATGGTCATGGTCAGTAGGAGTGGTAAATGGAGGGATGTGCGCTTGGCCCCCACTACTACTACCTATGGGGGTGCAAGGCCGGTATGCCCGGGCCAGTCAGGTAGGGGAAGTAGGCGCTGGGATTGCATGCGAGGCTGCCTACTACGATTAGGCTGCATAGAAGCGGAAGACATCCCCAAGGCTGTCGATTCAGACATAAACAGCCCCCTCCCCATATCCCCCGCTCGGCCAACATCTTTCCATCTCCGTGTGCAGACCATTTACTCCAGACTCCTGTTACAACTAGCTGAAGCATCAGTTTGCCCAACACGGTTTGTATTCCTTGCCCCCACGGAAATCGAAACGAACAACAGCTATGCTAACTCACCATCAGAAACATCAAAGCCTCTTGGCTACTCCATAATCCGCCCCAAGATCCACCATGGCTGAGCAAATCATTCTCGACATTCCCTTCCCGATAGCATACGCGAAGGAAGCATTGGGCCTCACAAAAGAGTTAATCAGAGACTCTAGAGTGGCTCTATACACCTTCGGGCTGCACGGAGCGGATGACAGCCTGGTTTCTGGCATATATGGGAACTACGACACCGGAAGAAACCACAAGAAGATCTGGTGGGCCCTACGTGTCGACTACGACAACGTCAAAGGCTATCACATCAATGCTAATAAAATAGTGTATCAGAGGGATAGGGAGATTGAGAGGATTTCGTTGTGTGTAAAACCTCCCTGGAGGTCAGAGAGTGAGGACCAGGCAATGTTCCTGGCGCAAACGCAGCATTTGACCACATGGACGGGTTACGATAAACGGGCAGAATATATTGCTCTAAAATATACAACGGAAATGGAGCACCGGGACTACTTTGCTCGGCGAGTTCAGAGTCTGTGGAGTAATGAGCACTGAGGACTTGTATACGCATGGTCTCTCATTCTGTCTTCTTTTTTTATTTTTTTTATTTTTCGTTTGTACTTCTGATCTGGATAAGCTCAACAGTTTTATTCTATAGCCAAAATTAAAGTAACGAGTTTGTTGTTATGGTAGAGCCTCCTTCTAGGAGGGGTGGTTGTGGGAATCGATAGGTAGGGAGATAGTACATTTAGTAGCATGGCAGCGCTTGAAACGATTTATTGTCTGAGCACACCCAAGTAATATACCAACAGATATAAACACATGTCAAAGCAAAACAATCAATGCAGAAGACAACTCCAACACACACATGCGTTAGTCGTGAACGTGAACTTCATACATATATCTTTCATAAAGATCTCAATAATACAGCTACTAAAATAAGTGGAGGGTTTCTATAGTGTTTACTTCTACATAATTATAAATCAGTTCATATTTCATCATTTAACTCATAACACCCAAAAACAATAATACATCTATACATCAAAGAATCTACGGCCCCTCCCTCTCCACAACCCTATACCCATGCACCGCCTCCTCCAACGAGATATTCTCTGAATAATACTCAGATTCACGCGCCACAATCGTCTGACTTCCCAGCGACGGGACATGCGATCCGCGCGACTGACTGTTATCTCCGAGTCGAGAGAATCCCTCCGGAGTCTTGCCATTGGCCTGGTTAGTTGGGTAGCGGCGCTGGTAGTAGCGCTGCGGAGTCTGGGAGGATCCCTTGCTGCGTAGCTGTTGAGGGAGTATCCGCATGATCAATGGCCAAATGGGTGGGAGACAGGCGGCGATGATGATGATTCCGCCTTCTAGGATGGTCCAAATTCCTAGGTTGGTGGATGTCCCTGTATTGTATTAATAGGTGGTTAGCAGGGTTATTTATGGATTAGGAACAGGGGAGGGACGTACAGGTTGGGTCGGTCGTGGCGTTTTCTTGGAAGAAGATTGTCATTCGTAGAATACTGGCTACGGTTCCTCTGGTGGTGGGGGGGTTGTGAGGTTAGTGAGTCATTCCGGTGATGTTGGGGTGGTGTAGTATATAGGCCTTACAAACTGCCGAGAAGGAATACTCCTGTTAGAGCTAACTTCTGCCCCTTTCGCGTGTGTAGTTTCCAGACATATGGCAAGGGCATGATCAGGAGGAGGACGTCTGTTAAGATGTTCGGCGGTGACACGTAGCGGTAGAAGGCCAGTTGGTTGAAGCATGATCCTCCTTCGATGGTTTTGTCCCAGACGTATGCTATCGGCCAGCACTGGAAGATGGCTGCAAATAGGATGCCGAGGCCGTGTCCGAGCACGATGGCGCCAACTATATAGGCCATTATTTTGAACGATCGAGTAGTGAAGATCCGGAGGTAGAAGACCAGAATGGATATCTTGGCTGGGGTGACTGTGAACGGGAAGTCGAGGATCTCGTTGGCGTACAGGCCCTGAATTATGTTAGGCGTGCATCTCGGATTAAAGAACCAAACTAACGGGTTATACCTTCTCCAAGATCACCAGCTTTTCAGGCGTCTCTTCGACATAATCCATGTGATGTCCGACTCCTGCGAGCTTGACCACTATGCGAGAGGAAAGCCAATGGTCAGTGCTTGTCTCGCGTTATCGAGATATTCCACTTACAGATAATGTACAAAGCCGATTGGCCTAAGCTGGCGATCTGCAAACAATGTAAGCACAAGGCAGGAGTAATCAGTAAGACAGGCGAGTACCAATGCCAGAAGAATCAGGTAATCATCGAGAGCGAAGGCCAGCTGTTGCAGACGTCGTCGTGTATAAAAGCGTGCTATAACCACCACGATCTGAACAACGGCAATCGCGACGGACACGCCTATCAGCGCATCGCCGTTGTACGGGACATCGGAGTCGGATCGTGCATTCATCGCCGCCTGAAACTCGACTTTTCATCTGCCATTAGAGGTCCCAGGCTGCTACTTCAACAATTGCACGCATTGCAGTCTGCAGCTCTCATCAAAGCAAGAGGACTTTGAATGGGTGAGGGAATTTCATCTTTTAATTGCGCACAGGGCCAAGACCACGGCTGTTAGCTTCAAGCCGTGTTCCTTGGAATGAGAGCATCCGGCTTCACTGGGACCGTCTTTGAAACTCTTGGACAATGGATCCAGTCAATTACATAATGCAATGTTGAGTGTGCCGTGCTGGTGCCACGGGCAAAAGAGTATCCAAATCGATGGTTCTCGCATCATTCGCGAAACTCAATCTCCGCCGATCCCCACATGGCTTTCGGATGGCTTGCACAGGTTCTGGAACCGACCCTCGATCCGATACTATGCCCACATATTATGCCGCTGAGTGTCCAGTTCCTGGCAGATTTGTGTCCACTAAGGCACGCTAGCATCGTGCTCGGGCTCGATCCTCTCATCTTATTCGTTATCGGGTATCCTCCATCACGCGAGTCAGGGGCCCCACGCTTGCGATTCCTCAGCTTTTGTTCCGATTATCCCTTCATCATACTAAAGCCCTCTATCCGCGACATTTGAGGTTGGCTCCTGTATGTTCACCCGTCTTTGCAGGATATTCCATCTAGCACCAAGGAAGAGCAAAACAGCACGAGAAGCCGGACTAGAAAATGTCTCTTGATCGTCAGATATCAGAGCTAACGAGCGCCGTCCAATCCAGCAGAGATGGAATTGACGATAGCACCCGCTTCAAGGCCATCAAAGCCGCACAGGGGTTGCTGGCAGCCTTGGGCTCTCCAGCCGAGACAGTCATTCAAGATGTCGTTCTGGTAAGTTTTCAGGATTATGCTCTCCATTTCCGTTGCTGCCCATTAACATGCATGAAAAGCATTCGGTCCTTCTTATGGCACTGCGTATGGGCGTCCAACTCGATGTCTTCAAGACTATCAGAGATAACCAAAATCATGCAACAACTACACAGCAGATCGCCAGCAAATCCGGCGCAAGTGTAGTTCTCGTGGGTAGATCTCCCTTATCTTATCAATCTCCATATTAGCCCTCATCGAATGTGAAATCGTGGGTCGGCGATGGATACACGCTTCTTTTCTCTGCGGTCCCACTCTAGAAGGGTCGATCGTAATAGTTTGCAGATGCAGCAGCATGGCATGCGCCAAACACATATGCTGACAGAATCCCGAATAAAACATACTGACATGGCACCACCTAGACCAAATCATGAGGCTGCTCGCAGCTTCTGGGTATGTCCTGGAAGAAGATATCCAGTCATACAAACCATCACCCCTCACAATGGTGATGGCCGAGCCTACCTTCGAGGCCACAACTCGAGCATGGTAAGTTCCTCAGACACACCACCATGCCAGCACACCCTCATCTGACACCACTCTAGCTTCGATATTGGCAATTTCTGTACCACGAGAGCTCCAGAGTTCTTCCGCAATAACAACAACCAATTCCCCAAATCCGCCAAAGACACACCCTTCCAGCTCGCAATGAACACAGAGCTCAATTACTTCGAATGGCTTGGTCACAACCCCTCCCTGGCCAAGGACTTCCAACAATGGATGACCCTGAAGCAGCAAACAACCCCGAACTGGGCCGACTGGTTCGACATTAAAGGCTCTATCACCGACGGTTTCAACAATTCAGCGAACGACATCCTCCTCGTCGACGTCGGAGGAGGCGAGGGCCATTACCTGCACGCCTTGAACGAGAAAATCCCCTCCCTTCCTGGCCGTCTCGTCCTCCAAGACCTGCCACACGTCGTATCGAGTATAAAAACTCCCCCAAAAGGAACCGACCTGATGCCTCATGATTTCTTCACGCCGCAGCCAGTCAAAGGTACGATGCCTCCATGATCCACACACAAATCAAGACCGCGGTTAAACACACCGACGCTAATTATCTCGCGCAGGTGCTCGAGCATATTATCTGCACTGGATCCTTCATGACTGGGCCGACGAGCAAGCTCGTCAAATCCTCACCAATATCGTCGAAGCTATGGAACCGGGGTATTCCCGCCTCATTATTAATGAGTATATTATCCCGGATAGACATTGTGATTTTCCCACTGCGTGCATGAGTATCATGATGATGGTCCAGGTTGGCGCGTTCGAGCGGTCTGAGAAGCAATGGCGTGAGCTGCTTAACTCTGTGGGTCTGGAGAAGATCGTTTTCCATCAGCCGCCTGGTGGTGGGGAGGGTGTTATTGAGGCTGTCAAGAGTCATAAATGATTGGAATGCTGTACATAGATTGGTCGATATCTGATGACGGGAATGATAGGATTTTAAAGTCGCCATCTGAGGTGGTCACATGCGACTCGTGACTACACACTTATGTAGGCCAATGTTAACTTGTCCTACTATACGTTTAGGGCATCTGGTTCCATTAAATGGAGGTAGTATGTACAGATCTTGGCTGGCTCTGAAATATTCGAACCCATTTCGTTTCTCTAGCTTGGAACAAATATAGATACATCAACGAGGTGCCTCGGGGTATATGATAAACTAAACAGCGGCGCCGCTCAAAATGTGTTACAGATCTGGAAGAAGACTAAAGCACCTCGGATGGATGGAACGATGGATTGTTGGCTGGCGAGGACAGACTTGAGCGAAGGAGACAATAAACCGACCTTGTCGCTTCCCTCGCTGGGAAGTCACAAGACGGTTGTTTGGTCCTTTGTATTTCGCAAAAGTAGCTGAATGCGCATCAGTTGTTCCGGTCCTGCTGTTCCAACTTTCCAACGAGTTTCTTCATGCCCGCCCATTCATCGGCAGGCACGTCTTCCGGAGTACCGCTGAGACCCTTTCCGACTTCAAAGACAGTAACCACACCGTCGAGCCCACCCGTTGCAATGCGCCTGCCCTCGCGCTCTTCCCAGGCTACCTTGTTGAGACTTCTCGTCAGTATGCCTCCACGGCCCTTAGACGGTGTCGTCTTCACGACGGGGACTTCGGTGTCCGTGTAGAGATCCCAGACTTCGAGGTTTCCAGCACCATCGACGAGAGAGAAGACACCGGGGCGATGAGGGGACCATCGTGCATCATACACGACATCCTCCCGATTAATGTCAAGAATAGGCTCCACGACTTGAGTTGTGGCTATGGCAGAGGTTGCAGGGGCAGTCGTAGCCGGCGGACGGATGCGCCAGAGCCTCACGCTCCAATCCAGACTAGAGCTAAGCATGAGATCGCCCAGATCAACTGGACCGCGAGCGGGATGGAATGCAGTGGACATGATCGGGGCTTTATGACCGCGATACACGAGGCGATGGTCGGTACCAGCTTTGGCACCGGCTCTGTCGTAACGATGGCATGGGTAAATCCCTCCTTCCTCAGTACCAACGATGAAGAACGTGGGGTCGGACTGGGGGAATGACATCGTCGTGGGTGCAAGATCTTCTGTTTTCGAGGGCGGGGGAGTCGAAAGTTCGAGGTATTCTTGAGGCTGGGAAAGCATGTCGACCGTCCAACCACAGACTACGCCATCTGTTGATGCGGTCAAAATGTTATGGGCATTCTGTGTTCCAATGATGGAAATACTGTAGACCGGGTGAGTATGCCCAGAGCCAGTCAACGGCGTCTTCTGAACGGGAGCGCCACCGCCTGCGCGCGACGACCGAGTATCCCAAAGCAGTACCTGCCCCGAGTACGAACCGCCAACAATGAGATTAGGGTGGAATGGAGAGAATTTGGCGGCTAAGATGTCGGAGGTAGAATGAAAGACATACTCCGGTCGGGAGTGAAGGTGTTGGTTCCAGATCTGGACGAGACCATCGGGTTCATGAGGGGCAGAAGGGTTCTTGGTGTATGCAGCCAGAACAAGTTCGGGGAACTGGGAGATGTCAGATCTCAATGCGAAGCTGATCATGGCGACAAGAGTAACAAACCTTCGGCGAAAAGCTAAGATCACTGATCATACGCTTCTTGCTCCATCGCTCGTCCCAGAACTGGCAGACCTCCCTAATTCCGCGCCGTTTCCGTCCATGTTCATCGTCATCTTCTAATTCACCATCCACGCCCCCAAGCTCGTAGTCGGCCAGCACATCGTATTCCTCGTCCAGTGCCCGTTCAATGACTTTAGCAGATCGTTCAACGAAATCCAGAAAGTCCTCAGAGGACGTGACAGCCTTTAATTCGTCATCATCTAATGTACGGAGCGGGTAACGCATATTTAAGGCCTCGGCGCTGGCCTCATTGTCAGCATGCTGTTGAGTGGCCTGCAGCTCCTCCTCGATCTCTTTGCGGAGCTTCCTCCGGATCTCTTCGTCGCGTTCGCTATCTCTCTTGCTGCCATTGTTCTCTTCATCGTCTGACTCTGTGGCGCCTGATGGTTTCAAGTCGTCCGTCTGGACTCCTTTACTATATGTGACAACTTCGGGTTTGGGCTCAGGGGCGGGCTGTGGTTCAGGAGCCGCGACAAACGGCTCCGTGCCGACTGTTTGAACAGCAATTGACTGTGAAAGTGGTCGCGTAGTCGGACTGAATGCTTCCGTGTTGTCGCCACTGAGTTGGCTAGCGCTCAGGACTGAATTAGGCCTGCTTCCCTTCCGTGACAGGCCATCGGCCCCGTGGCTGATGGAAGCCGACCCCGGGCGGTCAACCAAACGTGAGATAAGATCATCGAGCTCAGCTCGACTATCTGCGCGGCTGGGGGCAGGGGAGACAACCTAAAAAGGCAAGTAGAAATGAGCGCTGGCCCTTCTCAAGCGACATGGGCGACCATAAATGAGGGGAAAGGGCCTCTATACCTCAGAAGCATCGCCGGTGTTAGCTCGGGTTTGCGAGAATTCCTTCTGCCGCAGCTCTCTCTGCCGCTTCAGTTCGGCGAGTTTGGCTCTCTTGGCAAGGATCTCGGCCTTGCGCTGTTGCATAGCCGAGGACATGATGGGGAGGAGGGGGGATAACGGAAGGTGAAACCCTCCAGACCACGAACTGGCTGGTCTTTTAGAATTGGGGACGAAGTAAATAAAGTACGGGGAGGGTTCGTTCGCGTTCCCTTGAACTTCCCCGTGTCTGTCCCGCGCCCAGGGAAACCCGGGTTGGTGATGACATAAGCGCCAAAGGGCCCGACGGTCCGGAAAAACTCGCGACAGGAACTTCGTCTTTACCAGCTCTCAAAGTATCCTGTCCGATTGCCAGCCATTGACAGTCGATCCCTTCATAACGGTCGCTCGGAATCCGGCCTTGCTATCTCTCGTCTCACTGATCTGTTCCATTCGCCGCTCCGGAGGCCAGGGTTCTCATAAGATGGCTACCACACAGGGTGTCAACGTGAGTGTGTCATCAGTATCCGCCCTGGACCCATTGTCATGATACAGGACCCTCGAGGTTAACCCGCTCCCTTCGCCCATCCAGGTTCTGCGCTATTCGGCCCTCGTTGCCGGTCTCGTCTACGGTTTCTACCACCAGTCTTCGATCACCGCCACTGCTAAGCACGCCGAGGCCGAACGCGAATATGCCCGCCAGGAGCGCCTGATCGAGCAGGCCAAGGCTGAGTGGAGGAAGAAGACGGCGCCCAAGGACACGCAAAACAGCGGAGGTACGTCTTGGTGCTAGCTTTTCCATACTCTGAATCCCCTTTACCAGTGCCGAATTGCAGTCCCCATTGGAACCCCCAGCGGCATGTACCGGACCCCCCCAATGCTAACTAGGGAACTTGCACAGTCATTACGGATCCCGAGGACAGCCGGTTTGACCTTGAGGCTTTCCTGAAGATGAAGGCTGGCGAGAACTAGAATGGAATCGAAGTATACGGCACGCAGATGAAGTTGCAGTTATCTCTCTAAGAGTCGTACCTCTTTGAAGGTATAGGCGAGAGATCTCGGGTCGGCCCCGATTATGTATTATTGTTTGGTCTAATTTCCCAGAGTCGTGTCATTGCGAGCGAAAGGAATGATTTTTCTTTTTCCCCTATAGACATCATCCCCGCATCTTGTACATACCCTGGGCTGTTGTGCGTCTGTATCACTACAGTTGGACCAGAAGAGCAAGAGATTCTGTATGCTTCGGTTTCATTGCTGATCTTCTTCTCGTACTGAGTGCGCTTGCGCAATATTATGCCCATTGTTATGGGGCTGTTCTATGATATGCTCTGTGACGCCGTCAAGTCGTTACGTGCGGACTCTGGATGTTGCGCTCTAGATATGTAGTCATCCGATCTCTCCGTCATGTCCCGCCTATTACTGTAGGATAAATCGAGTTGCAAGGTAGCCCCTGTTTTTGCAGACTCCCAGATACTCTTAATTCCGGCGATTTCCGATCAAGGCCATGACCTGACTCAGTTCATTATACAACCGAACATCTTTCTGAGGGGCTTCGTCGACGATCGGTTTCGGGTGCAACAACCCTTTTTCCTGATCCCATGTCCATCCATACGCTATGAACTTCTGCATGATGGCCGGGTCACCCTGTTGTGCGGCGGCAGCATCCAGACCGAGATAGGTTGCAGCGGCTGCTGGCCTTATCGCCTCATAGGCTCTGCTGACTTCCTTTAACGTCTTTTCCTGGAAATGAGCTAGGTAAGGTTAGTATATGAAGGATGTAGCAAAGGCAAGGCATATTTGAGAGGATGGTTTGCCTTACATTCATAACTCTGGACTATGGGTCGGAGTGCTTCTGGCCACGGCAGTTCTCGCAGAATCTTATACACTTGTTCATATTTCCGTTGCCAGACCGCTCGGAGAAGTGTCAAGCAGTTCTGTAGTGACGAGTCATTTTGTAGTAATTCTTGTGGCACGCGTTGTGTCGATAAACGAGCTTCGGGACTGGGTAACTGCGGATTAGCGATTTGCCAACTGTGGGGGAGTAGCTCGGGGATATCTCACATTCTGTCTACAAGAAGGTTGGAGAAGAAGAATGTAGAATAATAAAGACTGAGTAGCTCCGTGTGGTTGCCCTTTTTCATAGAGAGCAGACAAGCTTCGCTTTCATAGTTTGATAGTGTTTCGTAGAGCTCCGTCGGCGTTTTAGCAGAGGCAACGACGGCGGTCAGTTGCTCTTGTGTGAGTGGGGGAAGATCCATGGCGAGATGACCGTTAAGCGATCGCGAGAGTTCGAGTATTAATTCTCAAATGAATATTCTTGAAACAGGGCGTAACGATTCGGATGTTCGACTGATGGTCGACTAGACTTGCGCTGATACTAAGCACTGACGGTGCGGGGACGTTTCGGAGGAAATCCCCCCAAACCCGCAACGGGAAAAGGGAACTAGTAACAAAGTATTGTGGTTTGACTTGGGTGACTTACGTACCTGGCGCCAAGCCCCAGAAGAGACCACCTTGCGAAGCTCTCGACACTCTTCAATTCATTCCCCCGTTCACATCACCACCCAACCCTTCCCTCTCATCAGCTCCCGGGACAGGTCGAGGGCTGTTTGCTCATCTTCTTTCCCATTGGATTTTGATTCTTTTCTCCCCTGGCCATTATGGCCGAATCACCCCTCGATGTCCTCTTGAAGGGTAACTCCGGCAGAACAACACGCGGCCTTCTGCGGATTATCATTCTAGCTACCATTGCCGCCGCTGCTGTGTCCAGTCGTCTGTTCAGTGTTATCCGTATGTCTCTTGACTCATATAATTGTTCAATTGAGTTATCGTCACTAACATTGACCCTCTAGGATTCGAGAGTATTATTCACGAATGTATGTTTTGATACCAATCCTCCATCTATACCTTGACGCTACCGCGGATCCGGCATTCGACACCGTGTGCAGGCAGCTCCATTCAGAGGCAACCGATGCTAATGTAGCTCCCTTCTACAGTCGACCCCTGGTTCAACTTCCGCGCAACAAAATACCTGGTCTCCCATGGCTTTGAGAGCTTCTGGGACTGGTTCGACGACCGTACGTTCTTTCTGCCAAGCATGCTTTCACCTGCATATACTGATTGACGACGCTGCTCAGGAACATGGCACCCCCTGGGACGTGTCACTGGTGGCACGCTATACCCCGGTCTGATGGTGACCAGCGGTGTTATCTACCACGTCTTGCGTTTCCTCACCATCCCTGTCGATATCCGTAACATCTGTGTCTTGCTTGCCCCGGCCTTCTCCGGTCTGACTGCGCTGGCAATGTACTTCCTGACTCGCGAGATGGCGACATCCCCCTCCGCTGGTCTTCTTGCGGCTGCTTTCATGGGTATCGTCCCTGGATACATCTCTCGTTCCGTCGCAGGCAGTTACGATAACGAGGCCATCGCCATTTTCCTGCTGGTGTTCACCTTCTTCCTGTGGATCAAGGCTGTCAAGAACGGCTCCATCATGTGGGGTTCTCTGGCGGCTTTGTTCTACGGCTACATGGTGTCTGCCTGGGGTGGTTATGTCTTCATCACTAACTTGATCCCTCTGCACGTTTTCGTTCTTCTGTGCATGGGCAGATACAGCTCCCGCATCTATATCAGTTACACCACTTGGTATGCTCTGGGAACTCTGGCCAGTATGCAGATTCCCTTCGTCGGATTCTTGCCAATTCGCAACAGTGATCACATGTCCGCACTCGGTGTGTACTCTTATTGTCTGTAGAGAAGAGGATCTGTACTGACCTTGCCAGGTGTCTTCGGCCTCATCCAGCTCGTGGCCTTTGCTGACTTCGTCCGTGGTTTCATCCCGGGCAAGCACTTCCAGAGACTTCTGACTACCATGATCATCGTTGTCTTCGGTATCGCTTTTGTCGGACTCGTCGTCCTCACCGTGTCCGGAGTGATTGCCCCTTGGAGCGGTCGTTTCTACTCTCTGTGGGATACCGGCTATGCCAAGATCCACATCCCTATCATTGCGTCCGTCTCCGAGCACCAGCCCACCGCTTGGCCCGCCTTCTTCTTTGATCTGAACTTCTTGATCTGGCTCTTCCCTGCTGGTGTCTACATGTGCTTCCGCGATCTCAAGGATGAGCATGTCTTTGTCATCATCTACTCGGTGCTTGCCAGTTACTTCGCCGGTGTCATGGTTCGTCTGATGTTGACCCTGACCCCTATTGTTTGTGTTGCGGCTGCTCTGGCCCTCTCCACCATTCTCGACACGTATGTGTTCGCGAAGAACGGCCCCAACCCTCGCGCCAAGGCGAACGAGGACAACTCGGACGGTCTTCGTTCCACCAGGAAGCCCGATGTCGGTGTCACGTCCTACCTGTCCAAGGCTGTCATGACCTCCTCCGTTGTCATCTATCTGCTTCTCTTCGTTGCGCACTGCACCTGGGTCACCTCCAACGCCTACTCCTCCCCGTCTGTGGTTCTCGCGAGCCGCTTGCCTGATGGAAGCCAGCACATTATCGATGACTACCGTGAGGCGTACTACTGGCTCCGCCAGAACACTGAGCACAACGCCAAGATCATGTCCTGGTGGGATTACGGCTACCAGATTGGTGGTATGGCGGACCGTCCTACCCTGGTTGACAACAACACGTGGAACAACACCCACATTGCCACCGTTGGTAAGGCGATGAGCTCCCGCGAGGAGGTCAGTTACCCCATCCTCCGTCAGCACGATGTTGATTACGTGCTGGTGGTGTTTGGTGGATTGTTGGGCTACTCCGGTGACGACATCAACAAGTTCCTGTGGATGGTCCGTATCGCCGAGGGTATCTGGCCCGACGAGGTCAAGGAGCGTGACTTCTTCACTGCCCGCGGTGAGTACCGGGTGGATGACGGAGCCACCCCCACCATGCGTAACAGCTTGATGTAAGATTTCCCCTATTTACCATGGCAGTGATATGATACTAACAACGACTGCAGGTACAAAATGTCCTACTACAACTTCAACTCCTTGTTCGGTCCCGGCCAGGCCGTTGACCGCGTGCGTGGATCTCGTCTTCCCGCGGAAGGCCCTCAGCTGAACACGCTCGAGGAGGCATTCACCAGTGAGAACTGGATCATCCGTATCTACAAGGTCAAGGATCTCGACAACCTCGGCCGTGACCACAACAACGCGGTGGCTTTTGACAAGGGCCACAAGCGCAAGCGCGCCACCAAGCGCAAGGGCCCTCGTGTCCTGCGGACCGAGTAAAGGGCCTGGTGTCGTTGATAGATACCAGGTTGGGTGTAAAATCGATCCCTTCTTCATTTCTTAGCATGTCATTTTCAATTCCATGTTCTTGTACGTGTCACATCACCACCATATAGGCGGAATTATAGAAGTTGTGCATTTGGTTAGAAGCGTAGACTATACTTCTTTCTACCCTTAAGCAACCAAGCTGAACCTTGTCAGAATGATAATGACATATTGAACACGGATATCCTTCGAATAATATACAGATAAATAATAATTAGACGCGAGCAGAGATTTCCACTTGATCAGCAACATCATCTACACACATCCATCTCCTCCCTTCCCTAGTATCACATCCTCCCCATCAACCACCATACACCCCCCCCAAAACCCAGCACAAACCCAACACACAAAATAATAAACATACAGTATATTCATAGTTATTCAAAACCTAACTCCAATCCCAATACACCGTCAACAATCAATCAATCAAACATTCAAATCAATCCATGCACACACACACAGCTCAATCAGCATACGCTGAAACCAAAAATATAATAAAACAACGACAACAGTATTCCGCAAATGCAATATTCAAATCAATTATTGCTTCTTAGCCGGCTCATCGGGAACCTTCACGTCCGAGAACTCATCCTGTCCGACGGCGCGGATGGTGTAGGCGTCTATACAGCAGATGTGACATTAGCTTTCATTATTCTTTCAATGGGCGGTCCGGGGACTGTAATGAGATAGAATTGCGCATGCGCACAGCGATAGTGTCAAGGACAACGCTGGGTAGCTGGGCAGCTGGGTAGGAGGTATGGAACGTACAAACACTGATGGTAAAAGACACCAAGGCCAGACCGGTCAAGGCATTCTTGAACAGATACGGACGACGGGCACGGAGAAGGGCCGCTCCGGCGCGGTAGTCTTTGCCGTAGTAGGTTGAGTTGAAGCTGTAAGTTTCATTGAAGGTATGAGTCAGTGTGTCTCTCTCTATCTTGCGGTGGATGGGATGGGCTGATCGGGGTAGTAGGTAGTAGTGGGGTGTTCTGTCTGGGATGGGTTGTAAGAAGCAATGGATGTGGATATTGAGACGTACATTCCGGCAGGCATTGTGGAAAGGCTTGAGTCTGTGGTGACTGGTTGAGGCTTGGAGATGAGTGAGGGTTCTGGAGAGGGCGCGCCGTTTTTTCTTTTCGGAGGTGGACGGGGAACTTTTGGAGAGGATCGACTGACGCCTTCATTGGGGGGATTCGGCCCGGGCTTGGCGGGCTGGTGGTGGCTGCTGGCCGAGGCGGAGCCGCGGGGATTTAACTACGTACTTGTTTATCTCTATACTCCGTATACTGGTTTTTATTGCTTGATGCTCTCATATGTCGTTGTCTTGATGGGTTTCTTATGTTTTAGATGCAGTAGATCGGGTCATTGACGTTGCATTAGCATCAGCTCGGACTCTCTTGAAATTGTAGTAGTATCAGTTGCTAATTATATATTTCTTCTAAGGCTACTACTACTCTTAGTGCTTGATCACATTCAATAATCATGACAGTAGTAATACTACTAGTAACTAACTGGGAGATTTTCACCTGTATGGTGCTTTCATTTACCTCCCATCACCTTGCATGTAAGATCTACTACTAGTATATTCCCTACTACCTCCTATTACTTCATCTTATACCTTGAACCAATGGCTATATACTCTGCTAGAAAGTCCCAGGCTATAAGGAAGAGAATATAATGACAGAATTTATCAGCAGTATCTATACCTGTTCCACTGTCGTGGTTACGACTATCCGCTGCTGGCTTTCGTTATCGCAACTTTCAAGATCGAGCCTACCCTGGCCCTTGAATTTAAGGGCCCAGTGACTCCGTTCGCTGAGCTGGTATCCGCTATGACCAGGGCCGTTTCTCCAATCTCGGCTCGGATCGGTGCTCTTTTTGCTGCTGTTCAGCCCCGGAATGTTTCTAAGAAGCACGCGCAACGATGGTAAAGAGCCGGTAATTAGGCCGAGCGCATATTCGACGTTCATCAATATGAGGGGGACAGCACCGACGTCTAGGATGTGCTATTAGTGGAGTGAATTTGTAACAGAGAAGAGGAGCGAAGCCGTACATGTGTAGTCAGTTGAGTTAACCTGGAAGTCCAATAGCGGGATGCGTGCCAGCCCGGCACTGCATGCCACGAATCCTTCATCAATCAGCCTAGGATGTTCAGTAAAGGAAAGTGATGACTCCGCAAACATACCAAGACAAAACAGTCCAATAATGAATAAACGACGCTGAATAGGCATTTGAAGCTTCCAGATAGTTGGCATTGGAAGAGTGATAATGCTCACATCGAATAATAACATCAGGATTGCCTGATACAGCTGGAGGTCCTCTAACACAGCATTGGAAAAGCACTTCGAGTTAGGAATGGTCGAATCCCACACTGCCTGCACTGGCCAGCACTGGAAGATCAAGGGTAATTCCCCCGAAATTGTCACGATGACCATGAGCACCATGATTCCCAGACCAACCCGCCGGATCCATTTGGTTGGGAAAACCCGCATGATAAAAACAGTAAGGCTACATTTGACAGCCAAGGCCACCCAGAGATATAGGCAGAACAAGATATATACGTACTGAAAGAGTAAGCCAGCGTCTATAAAAGGGCAGAAAAGGCACTAACTTTCCCCATCATGACCATATCTGTAGTAGGAACAGTATCCTGATGGTAGCCAATCCCGTACGTTGTAAGAATGATGGAGAGGGCCGCGAACACAAGGACCATGGACTGCACAGTGCGGTTAAGAGCGGAGTTATTTTCATTTCCCATCAAGAATCGTACCTGCCAAGGCAAGAAGAGCAAGACAGTCATCCAGACCGAAAGCATGCGTGATGAACCCTCGAAGATAGAGCTAGGGAGACGCAGGTCGATTAGTCCGTGTATCCCGTCATTGTAAAAAGGTTAACATACTCTAAGACAGCATACTATCAAAGTGAGAAGACCGAATGCGCCAATTACTCCCCTCACTGTGTGTACCATTGGAGGAACCGAATCAGGAAGATGTGTAGGCGGTCCATTTATACCGGTCATTTTCTTGTCGGTCGCTATGGTGTCTTCCTGGGCCTTGGTTTGATTTCCTCATTCCGAGCTGATTCGAACGAATATAGCAACAGCAAAGAGGCATCCGCAAGCAAACCGCCCGACAATAGGCCCCTGACCGGCGTTCCTGTCAAGTTGAAACTCTTTATCGTGGCATTTTGAAATAACGAAGGCATCTAGTTGCAGGGATCCGTCCCCCGTGCGGCCGACTGCAGGGTAGATGCCCTGTTTAGAGACATAGTAGTTATGATTATGATTTATTGAACAGGGAAGCTAATCCTGATACTGCCCAAGTGGGCCAGTGCTGTGCCACCCTGTTGTCTTTGAGACGAACATGAGCCATCATTCGATTCTGGACCGTCATAGTGGCCCACTTGGCGCATGAACCGGGGAGTGACCGTTGGTCGCGGAGGCTGCCATGGCCAAGATAGTGTCAATGCCTCGCTCATTGACCTAAAGAGATATGTTACACAGTAAAGGTAAGCCATTGATGATCATAATCAGGGCGTAGTGCTGCGAGCATGTCTCTTGGACTTGGTTATGAATTCACATCGGCCGGCTCAGCCCTGACTGGCTTGAGTCTGATGGCATCTTGCAACTTACTGGGAGGCGCAATCTATGTATGCAGCGGCGTCAGACTAACAACATCCCCGGTTACACCGTTCTCTTGTTAGCTGCTCTATTAATTTCGGAGTTGAACGGCCGTAGTGGGCTGCTTTAAAGGGGATTCAGGAGGGATAGGACGACCGCAACCTGTCAAGGACATGGTTCGCATCAAATATCTTGTCTGAACGGCGAGGATCATCACCTCGTTGACCAACATCAAACTCCGTGACTGTATTATTCCCACTTGAATTCTCCTCATATTAATCTTCCAGCATGTCGGATAGCCCTGGTCTGCTGGCTTTAAGCCCACTTGACCACATCCCGGCGAAGCTCTTCCTGCCGTATATCCTGTACTTCGACACGACCGACACGCAGACAGCCCTCTCCACCCTCCAGAAAGGAATTGACAGGTTGATTTCAGAATTGCCCTGGCTCGCAGGAGATGTGGTTCTCTACAGTGTGCCAGACGGCCCTAAGAACCGAATGCATATTGCGCCCCCATGTGTTCCTCTTTCTGATGTCCCTATGCTGAAGATCAAGCACTTAGACGGCGATGCAGACTCTCACTCTCACCCGATCCAGTCCTATCTGCCTCTTCCCACATTTATCCCAGCCTCCCAACAGCGTCCTGTTCTTCGCTTTCAGGCAAATGTCTTTCATAGCAGGATCATTGTGGCCATGTCCTTCTGGCACAGCGTCTTTGATGGTACCGGGGCCGGTGTGATCCTGGAAGCAGTCGCCGAGTGCTGCAAGTCAACCAACAAAGAAATTACAACCAGCCTCGTACATACTATCGCGAAAACCCATGATGACCTCCGGAAGGAAGTCGCAAACTTTCCATCTAAATGTGTGAAGCGCCTCGACCACAGCATTGAGTTGGGAACGCCTGTTTTTGATCCCAACATTTCCACTGAGCAATGGAATGCAATGGAATCTGCCTTGTCCTCTATTGTCGAGACAAAGCGATACACCTTCCGACCCGAGAAAGTAGCCAAGGTGAAGGACATTTGTACTCAACTCATGCCTCAGTTGCAGTCCTCAGAGTGGATCTCTAGCAACGATGTTATTACCGCAACACTGGCCATCTGTGTCGACCGAGCCCTTCACCCGGAGCGAGCAGACAGAACCCAAAGCGCCGATTTTCTGATGGCCGTTGATTTGCGAAGCCGAGTTGATCCTCCGCTACCAGAGACCTACCTGGGAAACGCGATCTTCCCTGTCCATGACGATATCTATTCTGAAGAGATGGCAGGTCAGACAGGGGATGATGCAGATCTCCTACATCTAGCTCAGTTGGCACTGCGTATCCGCATGAAGCTTACATCCATGGACAAGACTCTCATGTATAGCGCATCAGCCGCCGTCGCCGACTATGAAGATTGGACTAAGGTCGAAGCAGGACCCGCGGGGATCATTGTAACCAGCTGGAGAGGCCTCAAGGTCTTTTCGGTAGATTTTGGCGCTGGACTGGGCCACATTGTAGACTTCGAGCCCGGGCTTACGCTTGTCCCTGGTGGGTGTATCTTTCTGCCGTCACGGACGTCCTTGGAGAAAAGTGGGTCGACTCCAATGTGGGAAGTATGCATTACCCTGAAAGCTGGGGATTCCCAATTGCTTGAGAAGGATCCACTGTTAAACCGGATCTTGGCATGAAATTGGCTGTTGAAGTGTGGTGTGGTGTATGGCCGTCTGGACTGTACTACGTGACAGTGTTGACTGAAGTTCTCTTTGACTCTACTAGCATTTTTCTGGAATAAAAGCCAGGTACAAGGCACTCTAGACAGTGTTAGCAGTGCTGCTTGTATATCCACATGCGGCTAAGTTCCATCATATACTGGACCCAAGGGTGTGCTCGAGGCATTCTAGTGCCGGCCGATCATGATCAACAGGTCTAGGGTAGAATCCCTACCACCTGCATAATGAGTGTTTATACTAAGGATGCACCGGGGCCAAATGCCATTGTCAACGACCAATAAGGCACATTAATTTTGAGCTCTTCCTGCATGAGTATGACGGTCCAATGGAAAGGATGCCAATAGATATGGAATGAGGATGGGGGGACAGGATAAGGGAAATGACGGTGGATGCCGCGAGACAGACTCACGTGACCATTGTGTCAAGCGCCGGCCAGATTCCTGCTTCGGCTTCCGTCCATCCATTCATTCAGCTTGACTTCTTCCACCAACAACAACTACCATTATCCTCCTCCTTTCCTCCTCCCTCGGGTTTCTCGGTTGGTATTTCTTACCTACATCACCTCTTTGTTTCCGCTCGAGTCATCGTTGCTTTCTTCTCATATTTACCAATCACCGGTACTCACCTTTACGCTGTATGCGCCGCGTCGGCAGATTATCTAGTCGCATTCTAAGTCCGGTGCTTGCACCGTGAATTTCCCCTTCCCCTGCGTAGACAAACCCAACCAGTTCCCCTTTTGCTTTACAAATCCGATCTTTCAAACCTCGTCCTTCCTTCCATCTGGCCGGCTCAGTCGGCCATTGAACCAGTCGTAATGGCTCAGTCGACCGATCACCTCGTCGATCAGATCGCCCAGCTCAACGCCGCCCGAAACCTCGTCCTTGGCGATGCTGCCTTCTACCCACAGATCGTGAACGGTGTTCTTCCGTTAATTGGCGCAAATACACGCCTGGAGTTGCGACGATGGGGATCGGAGTTCCTGGCCGAGACGTTTGCCAGTCCCGCGTTGGCTTCGACTCAGAAGGAACAGTTGGCCCCGAACGTGCTGCAGACATTACGAGAGATATTGGAATTGCCGGAAAAGGATCCCATGGTTTTGAAACATATAGTGCAGAATGCGGCCAGTTTGTATCCGCTGGTGTTTAGGCATATGTAGGTGGCTGATGCTTGCTTCTGTTTCGCCCCCCTCGGGAGAGCTCTCGTAGATTGCTGCATGGTGCTGCAATGTGATTTAGAGCACCCATTGGGCTTCGCAGTGTACTAACGCTTGACCTTGCAGTATCAATCACCCCGCAGAGGCAACCGCCTGGGAGAACATGACAGCCATCAAACAGGACATCCTGCGTCGATGGGACTCCTTCCCTTTCCCCGTCAAGATCTGCTGTATCAAGTTCGTACAGCGAGTCGTCCACGTGCAGACGCATGGCCCCATCGCCGACCCTAGAGTATGTTCACTGAGATCTTGCGTATTTCGCTGAGATTAACGCTGTCTTCCCAGCGACCCGACCAGAATGAGACCTCCTTGGCCATTGTGCCCCGAAACCATGCTATCCTGTCTCTCCCAAACTTGGAAGCAGAGGCGTCCGGATTGCTGGATCGACTTTTGTCTGTCTTCCAAGAAGAATCAAGGTATTTAAGACCCCTTTCCATCCGCGGTAGTCAACGTAAAATGTCGCTAATACTTTCAAAGTGATCCCCTTCTCGTCAATGCGACTTTGAACTGCCTGGCCGTCCTCATTCGAACCCGACCATCCGTGGGCAATAAGATCATCAACGCGATCATGAACTTCTACCCTGCGAGACAAGTGCGCGCTCCCATAACTCCCTCGGTCCGAGTTGGTGTCAAGTCGATGGAACGGACTGCCAGAGCAGTGATGATCAATATACTCAAGAGGTGAGACAAGATAGTGGCATAAGATAAACGGATGGATTGCTGATGGATCTACCCAGGAACCCCAACCACCTCCTGGCGGGCAAGATGCAGCAGTATATCGACCGATTGATGCAATCGCGTATTGAAGTCGCCGACGAAGCCTCGCGGAAGCGCGGTTTGCCTACCGAGCCAACGGACGGTCTAGACAACACTAAACGTGCGAAACTGGATGCTGAAACGCCAGCCCTGATCAAGGTTCCGCCGTTGCCACCAGGCCCGATTAGCTATTCACAGCTCTTTACGCTCACCGAAGACCGGGAGCTGTCGAACTTCGATGTGAAGCAGTTGCCTACCGATATTGTACTCAAGATTGTTGTTCCTCTCCTAGGTCGTGTCGACCAGTCGATGATGCAGCAGTCTATCGAGGTATGCTGAACTCCAAATAAGGAAGAAAAACCAGTGCTAACGGAGCCGCAGGCGATACGTATGCGGTATCAAACAATTCAGAAGCAGCAGGCTGCACAGCCTCCGGCAGCCCCAGCGGAGGCAGAAGATGACGACGACTACGAACCCGAGTACCAGCCCATGGACATTCCCGAACCGGCAGCCGAACAAGCGGAAGCCGTATCCGCCGAAGTGGCCGACCTCCAACCGGACCTAGTATCTCTAGGCCCTTTCGTTCTACCCCAGCCACCGCCTCTGACGGAAGATGAGGCCGCAGACATTGGTCGAAGTGCTGTTGGGAGAGTGTTTGGCATGTTGACGTCCACCGGAGTTGCCCCTAACCAAGCCAAAGGGAAGAGTCAACAGCAACTAGGCTTTGCTCGCCTAGCTGGAAGCACCTTCGACCGTGATGCTTGGGTGACCCTGCTCACTAGACTTGCCACTCGGGCCCCAGCTGGTCTGGAACCGGGAAGCGGAAAAGTCGAGAAGGGAAAGGCCCCAATATCGGACTCTATCCGAGAGACCCTCTACCGATATATCCTAGAGGACTTTCGCGGTCGCGTAAACATTGGCATCATGTGGCTTAACGAGGAATGGTACAACGACCGGATGCAAATGGAGTTTACTGCGCAGCATCGGCGCGAGGAGGATGAGGAGGTAACAGTCCCGTTACACTACGACCACTGGGTCCTGCGACTCCTGGACGGGTTCCTCCCGTACCTGGACTCTCGGGACACGAAGATCTTCATCCGCTTCCTCAGTGAGATACCCGAGGTGACGATCCCAATCACAAAGCGAGTGGCCAGTCTGGCAAAGGATCCAGAGCGCGTGAATCTTTGCATTCAATCTCTACTGTATGTTCCAAGTCTACCCAGAAGATCATATATCAAGAAGCTAACAACATTCCAAGGTACCTGATAATGTTCCGACCCCCCGCACGGGAGATGTGTCTCAACGCCCTCGAGGACGTCTACGATACCTGTATGTTGCAATCTTCCCCCGCACAGACTACCCCAACGCTAACCATCCTACCCCACACTTTAGACGAAGAATCCCGTCCCTTGGCCGGTAAATTACTCGCCAAATGGCGTCCCAAGAAGACCGAAGAGCAGCAACAGCAACAACAAGAAGGGCAACAAACACCATCCCAGACTCCTCAATCTCAGCCTCAGCAGCAGCAGCAGCAGCAAACCACCCTCGCATCCCGCCCTATCACATCATCAGAGTCCAACACTCCCCTCACCAACGGCACGGATGAATCCAACCCCACTCCCCCGCCGCCACAACAACAACAACCACAACCAGATGCCACCCCAACCACCACCTGAGTAAGAAGAGGAAGCATCCGTAACCAATACCAACACACCCCCTCGCATCTAAAGAAATACCTACCCTGTTATGTATCACTTTGTAACTTGCAACAGACACAATCAAAGAAAGAGAATACATACATACATACATACATACAAGCAAATCTATCAATACCTACCTCTGTGCCGGATGTGATTCCCCGCCCTTTCTGATTGCGTCACTCGCATAGACTAAATAGCCAATCAACTCATTGTCTGCTAAATCATAACTGATTCTCCTTCCATGGTAGTAGTACTATAGTACTACAGTAGTTAGTTATCTTATCTAGATGTGGAGGGGGGGATGGTATCCATTTATTCGAGTTAGCGGGGCTTATCTATCTACCAATCTATTTATCTGAGTTTCAATCTATACCAAGGGAGCGTATTGATCAGCTTTGGAATTAATTCCGCGCGGAGGTGATGATCCGGTACGCGTGGCTTGTGGCTTGGTAAGGACACTTACTGTCTTGACTCAGTACCTACTGAGTGATACGGATGCACTAGTGCCACACCGTATATGGTGAAAGATCGAAGGACAGGAATAAAATAAGAATTGGAGAGTAGCACTGATCAGTCAAGAGAGTTTCTATTCTAATAATAAACCTCCTATGCACGGCTTTCCGTGGTAATAAACAGAGAGAGAATACACATATCCCAACAACGCCAAGAGAGCAAAAAGGTCAAGACATAACACCGTGGGCATATGTAGTATGTATCGTGAACAGCAAGAATAATAAGAAGAAGAAAGAAGAGAAGACGGTGTTTGTTTGGAGAAAAAAGATCAAGAAGAAAACCCCCAGCAAAAAGTATTAGCTATCAGCCGATGCATCCGTTCGCCCATATTCACACATTGCCCCAAAGCAGTTCCTCATCAAAAAACAGTGAGATAAGAGGAACCGGCAGAAATTGCAGAATAGATAGATCACTTGAATTCGTCCCTGTTGGTGCCAGTCATACATGCCAAATCCGTACATACATTAAAAACACTCTACAACACCTGAAAGCGAAGCCCTGTACATTGAGCTATGGAGAATGTCCACACCTCGGAAGAAATGATGGTAGATGGTGAGTTTGCTGTTGCGTGATAGATTTTCATTATCGCGCTGCCATCTGATTCGACCCAGGGCCAAGGAGTCCTGTTGACTGATGAATGGAGTTGACCGGTCGAGATGAGAGTGGCGGCGAGGAATCACGTTTCACGGTAGCCGACTGGAAGAGTCCGAGTCGGGCCGAAGGTGGTGAATAGGCGGCATTTTGAGAGGTCCCTTGGGGAGAGCGGTGACCGAGTGTTGTATTATATGAGGCGGGATGTGGTTTGCGTACATCGAGGGGAGAGGAACTTAATGATCGGAACCCAGATCTTCTCTCCGCCTCGTAGTCGGGGTTTG